GTAATATTCTAAATGTGAAGAAGTTCAAATGATTAAGTGACAAGCATGAGGGAATTTATGTATAATTTATCAATTTAATTTTAGGCAACAAACTGATGGCGGTTAGTTTTAGGTGCATATTGATACAAATTTCTATCTTTGAGGGTGTAAATTGAGATTTTTGATCTTTAGGGGTACACATTGATACAAATTTCTATCTTTGAGGGTGTAAATTGAGATTTTTGATCTTTAGGGGTACACATTGATACAAATTTTTATTTTTGAGGTTGTAAATTGAGATTTTTGATCTTTGGGGGTGCACATTGATATAAATTTCTATCTTTCAGGGTGCAAATTGAGATTTTTTATCTTTGAGGATGTAAATTAAGACTCAAATGATATTTCGGGGTGCAATTTACAATTAACCCTAATTTTTAACCCACCAACCTATTCCCAATCTTCAACTTATCTTGCGATCGACTTTCTCACCTTTTGTTTGATGATCATGCCATCGACTATCTCTACCCTTCCATTGACAACAATCTTTTTTCTCTCCATTTTCACTTTTCTTTATGATGGGTGATGGTTGAATGCCCACTGTTGGGTACTTGGTGGCTGGTTGGTGGCTTGGTGATGGTAGTAATTAGGTGTTTGTGACAAATATGAAAGAGCCAATGACCAATTTGTTGGATTTAGATATAGGGGTAGCTTTGGTGTTTGATGCCCGGTGGCTAAGGGATGTGTGAGGTGGTGTGGCTTCATTGGTTAGTGTTGAATGTGTTTGGTGAAGGTTGGTAGCATTGGGGGGCGGTCTCATTGGAGTTGGAAGTCTATTTGGGTAAGGAGTGGGGAAAGAAAAAAGGAGAATCAGTAAATGCTAAGAGTATAAAAGTAATTTTTCAATTTTCGTTCAATTCGTCAATTAATTTAGTCTATGTCGAATTTAAAAGAGATAAATTGTCGAAATTAAAACTTGAGAGAAGCAATTGAAACAAAACGTATAGTTTAATGGGACATTTTGTAATTAACCTTATAATGAAGGAACAATTTTTTGTTTTTGATTCCAAATAATCAAAATAAAAATTTGTTGAGTTGAATATTTTTATCATTAACAAATTTCATGACTTCAAAAATAAATTAGAGAGAATAATGGATACCTTGGTCTCATACTCAACATTATTTTGGCTCAAATACTCCGCCTTATGTGTCTCTATTCTGGTCAACGCATTCATAACCTCAACCTCGCCAAGAGATTCTAGTGGAATGCCTCTTCGGGTGGCTTTAAGGGAGAAGGGTCTCATAGGGAAGGAGCAATGGACTCCAGAGTTTCAAACACCCCTGTCGATAAAGGGGGAGTTGTAACCCTAGCAGGTCTAACAAGCCCAGTGGAGGTAGGAGGAGACACTACCAAAGTCTTCTGGGGAAAAAGAACTCCTTGAGAAAATTAGGCCTTCATAGTCTTTACAGGCGGAGGAGTTTTTTGGAGAACCGGTGGAGGTGAGGGAGCCATCTGAGAAGGTGGAGGTTAACACAAGCTTACCCTTGACAGTTTTTGAGGAGGACCTAGGTTGCTCCCAGATCTGACTCCAGCCTTGCGTTTCCCCTCAACTCTACCTTTCTTGAATTGGGCCACCTTAGCCCTCACTGCCTCAGCATCTGGAGCCATCAACCTAAGGGAACAGTAAGAAGATTAGTAAATGTGACAACGAGAAGGATAAAATTAGGGATAAAGGAAGAAAGCCTTACCAGTTGGGTCTTAAACAACAACTACTGATATTGGGATCGGAGTCTTGACTTTCACCTCAAGAAGACTAAACCCAAATTGAGTGAGTACTGTTGGCTTGAGAAGCTCTCAATACTTCTCAGGCTTACAATCCTCTAGGCCTAGCAGGACTATCTTATCCTCTACGTCAAGGTCGGGGCGCATACTTAAAAACAAGAAAAATAAACAAGGTTAGCAAGCAAAATATCAAACCATGGAAAGAACCCAGACTAGGCCACTTTAGCAAGGACTTACCCAGATTGTCAGGGGCAAACCAAGTCTGAGGTACAGCAAGAGTATTGGTGGCATCCCTCAGGTTAAACTCCTACTCCTTCTCTGACACAAAGAAAAAGAGCTTGTTCTAGCCCTTATGGAAACTTGGGAGGTTGGAGATCAGAGTTTGGGCTATCAAAATGAGATAATTTAACATTAAAAAATTCCGTGAGCAAAGGTATCGTAGGGACACCGAGTTCATTCTTCTTAAAGAAGAATAGGAGACCTACTAAAATACTCCATAAGTTTAGGGAAATTTGAGTTGGAAAAACATTGAATTGTTAGAGAACAAACTTAAGGAAATGATGCAAAGGAAACCTAAGGTTATTCTCGAAAGAAGCAGTAAAGAAGACCTTCTTGAGCACCATGGTATCGTACCTAATGTCTACATAGGGAGACCAATAATGCATGCCCTTTGAAAATCCGAACCTAGCAGAGAGGACATCTAGATAAGGAGGGGTGACTTCGCTAAACCCAACAAGGTTTGAGGTCTGAGGTATGACCTCAGCACCCTCAGCACTACCAAAGTTTCCAGCCCCATCTTTCTTAGACTTTCTTTTTTGAGATTTCTTAAACCTCGAGACCCTCGATAAGACCTAAGGGACCTGGTCTTCAAGAGCTTCGATGCCAAAAAATTTTTCTATCTCATCACCCACATCTCCTAGGTCATCCTCCTCAAGCTCAGGAGATTTGTCGCCTATGTCTAGAGAAACAGATGAGGCAGTGGCTTCGGATGAAGCAGACATGGAGGTATGGAAGACAGGTAGATTACAAAAGGGGTACAAAGAGGAGACATTGGTAAAACAGTCATCGAGAGCCTTGGGATCAAGCCTCCAATGACCAAAAAGGAAAATCCTAGCAATAGTATAAGGGTCCAAGAAGAGGGGGAGAAAAGACAAAGAGCTACCTTGGCTCCTAAAATAGCAAAAACGAAAAGTCCAGAAATGAAGAAACCACCTCGCATTCGAGGGATCCATAGCAAGTAGAAACCCTAGGGGGAGGAAAGGAAAAACAAGGTAAATGACATACCTAATCAACGTCGATCAACAATTAGAGACCAAAGGTGGATATGAGGAATGAACTGAGCAAGCTTCATAAAGACTTTAGAGCGAATTCGGGCATTTACCAGTAAAACTCTAGGTCACTAGGAGATTGGAGAAGATGAAATCACAAAGAGGAAGAAAGCAAAGAAAAGTGAAGGAAGAAGGTGAAGAGAATTCGAAATAATGGAAAAAAACAGTTTCACCTGCAAACGTATTTAAGACGAATGTACGGATGGACACATGGAACCAAGGGGTGGAGGATGTGCACGAAAAATGAGGCGAAAGAAACTCATTGCACATTTGCAACGCCATAAAAATTTAAAAACGTCTCATCATGCAAATCCTGAGGGCGAATCAAGCTAAGTTTGTTCACCAAGGTTAGAGGTCAGGCACAAATCATATAACCTACCTGATTAAGGACTAGGGGACAACTGATGATACCCAAAATATGCCTAAGGTTGAGCTTGGGTATTCAGTTCGAACCTTCCCAGATCAGACCATTCAGCCCATCTCGGATGACTCAAAAATTTGAGGTCAGTACCTCCTCCCCAGTAACTGCACCTCTACAGGAACAACATAGAGGACAATTGGCTTCCACCTAAGCACCACACATAACGTAACGATTTTATATTTTGACAAAGAAGTCGTAACCATCCCAACGGTGTCCATGTCAATTGCACAAAAGGTGCAACCGTTACAAGAAGAAGGTGAAGATCACGCCCATGATCATGCAGGGCCTTTGAAGACTATAAATAAAGAGGCATACCACTCACAACAAAGACAAGAAAATGAGCCTAAGAAAATAACTTCTATAATATTTCCCCTTTTATCAATACAATCACCCCCAGGAGCAAGAAACTCTCTCATGAGTGGATTAGCTGAGCTTCCAAACTGGTGAACCACAATAAACTTTTTATGTACAAACCCTCATTCCCCTTTGTTCAATTTTTGAAAGCCTAGAAGCTCCAACTGAATTATTCAGTAATCAACTAATCCCTAAGCTCTACTCTATTGTGCGACGCACACCATCAGGTTATATAACAGTGGGGCAGATTACACACAAAACAAAAGGAGGAAATTCAATTAGGACAATCAATTCCTCATGTTTTCTCCTATCCACGTTGTCACCTAGTGTGGTGGTCTCATCTTCACCACCTCCAAAGCTAGGAGACGCTTGGGGAGAACGACAGTGGAACTCTTCGAAACCATCCTCATAATATGCACACATGGTTGGGTAAACTCTGTTGATTTCTTGAAATCTTCAATAATAGTGTTTTTTACCTCATTAGCTCAACATTGGGACTGCTAGATTGAAAACTTGAGTTGTTCAAAGAGGTTTATTTCTCTCCCTCTAGCTTGTTTCCTCCTTAGAAGCCTTCAAAGCCTCTTCAAGCTTTCTCTAGAAAGATAGTTGAACAGCCAAGGAATTCTCAGTGTTTTCATGGTTAGCACGCTATTTCACTAATTCCTCTTCACAAGAAAAGAGTTCATTTATGGTTGACAAGGTCTCCTAAAGAGAGTTTCAACATTTTCATTCCATGACACCTCTATAGTCAGAGCAGTACAAGAACGTCCCATTACAAGCACGAATGCCTGCCATAGAAGCAATGGAGGGGCTAAAAGAGATAATGAAGTGAAATTACCCTACAAAACTGATGAGCCAACATCCAAGACATCTTTATACTCCCCAACTTAGCTACCTCATGCACTTCAGGACCCATCATGAAATTTTGAAACCTTTTCAAGGTAAAGTCTTCATTATTTCACATATTGGCCAACTTTAGAAGCAGAGGAAGAGCTAGGGGTGCCCTCTACAGTCTTGGAGGTCAAATGTCTTATCTTCATCCACTATATTCTTTTTGGGGAGAGAGGTCTCAGGAGAATATTCTATATCCAGAGAAATTATTTTAGGTAACTTGGAGACAACTCGTGGAACCCCAACCTTAGGGGAACCCCCAAACCGAAGTCTCTTCAGCAAGAGAACAGGTGGATATACCCTTAGCAGCTTTGCAGGCTCGAAATTCCTTCAAAGGTTTCTTATCTATGTTTGGAGGAAGCACTGCAAAATAAAAAGAAAGCTCAAATCTACTGGCATCACAACTCTACAACCTTGATGAGGAGCTCTAGATTTTACAATTAAGGGGAATAACAAATTCAACCACCTCAGCGGGTGGAGCAAGGTTGAGTTGATGATCAAATAAGGAGAAGTCAATAACCAGATGTTTGAAATCCTTGAGCTAAAAACTCTTGGCAACCTCCACCCTATTTAAAAATTCTGGAGGAAGGTTGATGTCATCAATTGCAATTGAAAAGTATAAGTGAAATTAGCTCTACTACCATCCTACAAAATAGTGAAGGAAAAAAGAAAAACATAGGATTACCAAACGGTGATGGTGGAGTTCCCTAGAAATGCAAGTCTTGTTGGCTGAGTTATGAGAGGCTTGGTGGGACTAAACTCCCAACTTGAGTCCAACACGAAGAAAAATATTTCTTTGCACTATTTATGAGGGATAAGAATGGCAGTCACCATCTAAGTATAGCCAGGCCTATTCGTGAGGTAGTATCAACTGTAGCTTGTGCCAGCACCGACCTTGAGTTGGTAATTGATAATGCTTAAAATCGATTTGCACACTACATGTCAATTAAGAAATATAAAAAGTAGTAAAGTAGAGGGAAAAATGAGACAAGATTTATAGTGATTCGGCCAATGAGACCTATGTCCACTTTCAATGGCTAGGTTCGCCGAGAATTTTATTGACTCCGGTGTGTTGGAAGAACAAGAATTACAAGAGAGAGAGAGGAGATGAGCTTGTTTTTTATGAGATACCATCAAGTGTTGGCGGAACTTACAATTTATAGTTATCTACATAGTAATTGAATAGTTAGTCTAACGGTCATAATTGGAGCCGTTTATTAATAATTAATTATCTTGGCGAATTCTCCTCTCCTCGACCTCTCCTCGACTCAACAGGCAAGGAAGTTATAGTGCTCTCCAAAGGACTTGGTCAAGGATGAGAGAGGTTGATTCTCTCCAAACTGCGAGGGTGAGACTCCTGATGCTCCCTTGGTGGTGTAGCTTTCTAATGGGCTTGACCGGGCCTGGGCCTCGTTTGGACTGGACTTGCCAGATCTCTTGGGATTGGATCATTAGTTTAGACTGGACTTATAATATGAGTTGGGCCATTGGGCCTGGCCAATTAGTAACAATGCTAAAATGCACCCACAGATAGGATCGCTTTAGAACTATTGCCTGAAGACCACAAGACCCCCTAAAGAGTGGACAAGAAACTGAAGCCCAGAAATCAAGGCTATCTTGTATAAACATATCGTACCTTCAATAAAGTAGCAAGCTCTTTCTTAGCTTGAAAGAGCTCGCAGATGAACAGAGCTCGGAATCACAAATGGAGACCTAAATTGATTAAGGTCTTTATCGGTTATGGTGCTACAGATCTTCTTGGTAGGGTAATAAAGTTGTTCCACTTGAAAGCCTTCCAAGATTGAGTCAAGATCCTCATTCGCACGATCTGCCTTAGCAACTAGGTGAAGGGGTTGCTCAAAATGAGTTCCTTCAGAATCGAAACCAACCATGGTAGGAAAACACTTGCGTTGAACGTCAAAAAGAGGCAGCGGCAAGCAATTGGTGTAACACAAGGAAGATCAGAGCAAGACTTGAAAAACTTTTAAAGAAGAATACCAGTTGAGGGATTGTGAAAAACCATAGAAAATGTGTAGAGATCTTCCTCCAATCCAAGAAGCGAAATCAGTAGAAATTAAATTGAAAAGAGTGAGCCCAACCGAATGGAAGTAGAAATGAACGAATTTGCACAACTGAGTAGGTGAAAGTAGCAAAGGAATAGCGAAGAAAAAAAAGAGTCCAAGTCTTCTTGAAAAAGATAAGGACCATTTAAATTTTGCATGAAGGACAAGACATGCACACACACGTCTGTCGTTTCTGTCTCCCAAGGAAGTAATGGATATAAAATACCAAAAATGTCATGTTGTCGTCATGCTGGTCAGAGCTGATTAGGGGCAACTAATGATGAAAAAATTACCTCGGCAAGAAAGAGCTCTACCAAAAGGGCAATGGAGCCAGAGCACAGAAGAGCGACAAAGCTCCGACTCCCTAAGCATCTCTGACCTGATAATTAACTATATCCCGAATGACTAAATCCTCATAAGAGACCACCAAGATCGATGGCTTGCCACCCTGTAAAGGTTGTTTTGATAATGATCATTCAAGTTTAATTTCTGGAAAATAGACCGTTGACTTTCTACTTGCGGTTTAGCGGGGACTTTAATTATTCTTAGGGAGCACCGGTGAAGCCAACCGTCTAGGCCTTTTAGAGGACTACCACAGTGGGTTCGGCTGAAATGGTCACACCAGGCAGAATTTCCACTCCAGTCGCCCCCAACCAACCCTTTTTATCTAGCCGAAAAACAAAAATTGGTAAGGGTATAAGAATGAAAGATTATGGATAAGTAAGGATCAAAACACGAAAGTTATAGAGTTCCTGTTAGTTGGAATATTTAATAGCATCTTCTTGAAACGAAAAATGAGCCTATAATCCACTCCTAGAGGAACATTAGTCCACCCAAAGAGGAAGCTAATTCCACATGCCTATAAACAGAGCTCAAGGGGCAATCACATGAAGTACGCAACTCCTAACCCATTAAAGAGCCCCATATTGGAGTTAATGCTATTATAAACCGAAGAGAGAAGGGGGAGAGACTTCTGCTCAATAAGACAGGGCCACTAACTGATCCAGTTAGTTTCATTTTGGGAACACAAATGTGTAAAGGTCACAATTTAGTCACTAGTTTCTTCTGTGACAAGTAGTCTTTATTCTTGGCCAGTAAACAAACTACATGGATAATCTTCAATAACTTTGTAAAACCTCCCATTATAAAATGTATAGTTCTCAACAACTGTCAGATCTCCCATTCAAGAGTGAAGGAACCTTCAATGATCCTTGCCAAACATAAACTTTCCATCTACATTAAGAGGGAACATATCATTCCACATCCATTTTGAGCCACAAGCATTGAATGGAAGGCCCATGGCAGGACAAATTAGCATATCATTGGGCATGGTTTAATTATCTGCTTCATAACAGGATGTCCAGCACCTAGCTGGGGAAGGGAAAAGGAAAGAACAAAAAAGATAAATGCTGGGAGATCCAGATCAAGATCAACTAAGTTTCCAACTGAGTAAACACTTGGTCATAGGAACAGTGTCACATCGTTCTGAACTTGATTAAAACTACACTCTGGAAAAAATTAATTCATCAAGTTCAAATAAAGTTCACCCAACCAAAGTAGGACAACCTAACAGAGTTGTCTTCCAAATATTGCAACGTAATGAAGAAGATTGAGTCACTCAAATCACATCCCTGTGAAGGCCTTCTTTCCACCACCAGAAGACCCAGCTGGAATCACTTTCAACACGTTGAACCTCACTGTTTTTGACAATGGCCTACCAGGAAACATATATATATGCATAGTTAATAGATGGCAACATTTCCTACAAAATCATTGCCGAGGATAAAATGGGAGTCAGTTCAAACCTGCACTGGCCAATGATAACATGGTCTCCTTCTTTCACACGGAAGCATGGGGAAACGTGAGCTGGAATATTTGAATGCCTTTTCTCGTACCTGAAAGTAATTACAACCCTTCGTATTCAATCCTTAAAGAATAAAGAGAAGACAGCCACAATGAGTGAAGGTTTAATTCTTGCCTCTGATATTTCTTGACAAAATGCAGGTAGTTGCGTCGAACAATGATTGTTCTCGTCATCTTGGCACTATGGCATGTACCAGCAAGTATACGACCCCTGACCGAAACATTGCCGGTGAATGGACATTTCTTATCAATATAAGTTCCTGCAATTGGACAGTACAAACACCTATAAGTACTTTACTTCTAATCCAAAAGACACTCGATTAGATATAAGTTGCCCTTATAACCACTCATTTCCAACAAGAAGATAAGAACCCACAAAGAATAAATGACCAATGAAATGCAATATAATATTCAGACATCATTTGCCATTGTTTCATATCAAACTTCCAATAAACACTTTTATACCAGTAGGACAGGCTCATAGAAATAACCATATTTTGAATTTAATACATGTATATAACCACCAACACCCAAATGATAAGCAATAGCATTGGAACATTTTCTCAACTGATAGATCATCTGGTTTGGGTTTTATAGAGGAAATAACACATCAAGAATGATAAAGCTCTTGGTCAAGTGTACAACTTGTGGACCTTGCACTCTTCACGACCAAGAAATTTAAGGGAGTCTAAGCTCCTAATTGAAACTAGACTTCTTCAAGCATCCCCAGTACACTTATGAGCACGGATGTTTTGATTGAGGTGACATATATGTATTCAATCATAGTTATCAAAATTGTACGATTCACGATTCGATTTGTATGATTCAATCACTTTTTTTTAAAAACCCAATTTTTTGGCAAAATCGACGTCATTTTGTTCGCTAAACAGTAAAACGACGTCGTTTTGTTTGCAGAAGAACCCACGCCCTAATAAAAACTCAACCTATCTGCTTGTTCTCTCTGANAAAACCCAATTTTTTGGCAAAATCGACGTCGTTTTGTTCGCTAAACAGTAAAACGACGTCGTTTTGCTTGCAGAAGAACCCACGCCCTAATAAAAACTCAACCTATCTGCTTGTTCTCTCTGACATCGTCTAAAACTCGCCTTGTGTTGTCTAAACACTAAAAGTCACAGCTAACACTCTCGCATCATTGGTTATTGTTTGGTCTCAATTCTTTCATAGATAATTTGTTATATTCTAATTTTTTTGTTTAAAAATGTTAGCCAATATGTTTACTCTCAATCAATTTTCTCTCTTCAATCAAATTTTTTTTTATTTTTTATTCATGNGATAATTTGTTATATTCTAATTTTTTGTTTCAAAATGTTAGCCAATATGTTTACTCTCAATCAATTTTCTCTCTTCAATCAAATTTTTTTTTATTTTTTATTCATGTTTGTAACCTAATCTATATTGGGTGTCATTGTTTTGGTTCTTGAATAGTCATGGTTCTTTAATGAATTTTTTTTTTTCAAGTTGTTGAATTTAAAAATGGTTAAACAAAAAAATGAAAATGAAACAAAAGGTTAGCGTCTTTCCATTTAAACGACGTGATTATGCCAATTGATTATTTTTAGAATGCAATGATGTTCAATATTCAATATTTTGTCTATTTTAAATATATAGTATTTTTTTTTATTTAAATTTTATGTTGAATTTTACGATNAGACGACGTGATTATGCCAATTGATTATTTTTAGAATGCAATGATGTTCAATATTTAATATTTTGTCTATTTTAAATATATAGTATTTTTTTTTATTTAAATTTTATGTTGAATTTTACGATTCACGATTCTCAGATTTTGGATTTCAATTCATGATACGAATCGCGATTTAACAGCTATATATCTAATACATATTGAATACTGATATTCTTTGGATACTCGTGAATACCTATTGAATATTTTCCCATGTATCAAATAATTAATAAATTATGTGTCATTGTTAGATACTTATCAAATACAACTTGGATACACATATCTCCACGGTGAATATATTTTTCTTATACTTAGTGAGATGGGTTGTGTAGATACCATGGATCATAAAAATAGAGATTCTTTATTCCAAGATGTTAATTTGCACAGCATCACATGTGACAATATTTGTCAATTCTTTACAATTTACTTGGCTCGAGTAATGAGCTTTTATGACTTATGTTAATGGTAATGAAGTCTATTGCAATTAAATGCTAAGTATAATGTCGAAGAATTTCCAAGGGAGACACATGTTTAGCTTTAGAATCATAAAAAACATTGTATTCAAAAAACATTAAGCAGTTCCTATGTAAAAAAAATAAATTGTTCTAGTTTGGGACGTATTTTATCTCTTAATCAAGGCGTATTCTAATCGTATTCATATCATACTTTTAAATTTTGAACTATCATCCTATCATTATCATGTCATACCCGTATCTCATATTTGTGCTTCCTAGCAGTGCACACCTCTAATATTGACATGCATATCATGTAAAAAACGTATTCTTGACATATTTGGAAGCACGTAAATCACACACACAAGATGGAACATCATCTCTCATGACTAGAAACTTATACAAAAAATAAATAGCATACACATATAAATAGCAGTCGGCCTATGTTCCCCGGAACACATGTAAAGGCACGATTAGTTCTTCAAATCTCATTGCACTGCCCACGATAAATTCCTTGCTATATAGAAATAAAGGTTTGATTTAAACAAAAAGATGCATCCCAGCATTTTTTGTCCTCTGATCATTGCCACTCTGATATTTTTCTCCAAGGATGTATTCTTTTATTCTTTCGTAGAGGTGCATATGGATCTATTATGATAAATGCTATGCTCTGTATGTCACCTTAAGCCAAAACAAATTATAAGCTTCACAAATAAATCAGTATACAAAGGCAGGGCATAGCATTTCATGTTGATTAATAGTGGTCAAGTCCAACCTCCACAACATAATTTTTGAGAAATCAAATCCAAATTCAACATGTCAGAATTATTGTTCTATTTCAAACAAGAAACATAACATAGTTCCCATGTATATCAAACCACATGCCCGCGCTTACTCAGTATTCAATTTACATCCACAAAGTGAAAACCAATGCACTTTGAACAGAAGTACGGCCCACAGACTGCACATTCATCTCTCACATCCATTTATACTAGTTACACCATATAAACAATCAAGTAGGCATCAAAACCCATCCACAAACATAACCAAATCAACCCATTCATGAGAAATTAAAACAGGAATTATATTCAATTAAATATTAGTTCTTTCAGAATATAATTAGATTTCTAACCTTCGATGGCCTCTCTTGGAGTTTTGAAGCCTAATCCAATGCTCTTCCAGTACCGATTCCCTCCCTTTCCAGGCCTCTTTCCCTTCCCTGACTTCTTCGAGCTGCACACCAAAGTGTTCCACCACATTGATCTCGTACACAAACACATATATTCGATTATTTTGTATTTGTAAACGGAGTTAGCTGTGTATATCTTACCTGAGGAAAACCTTGGGCTGCTTCAAGAATGCCTTCTCAGTCTGAAACACAAAGAAATCCGATAAAGATCTAACCCATATGAATCCACATATCCCCCCAAATAGAGAGACAGACAGACAGGAAAGGGTTTACCTGTTCAGCCATGGTTGAGAGCCGTGTGTGAACAATGGAGAGTCCAAGAGCTAGAAGAAGAGTGTAGGAGAAGCTCGGCTCGGCAGAAGCACTACGATGCAGCAGGCATAGTCGAGGTCACCTAGGGAAGATTATATACTCGGAACCCTATATCTCACAATGACTAAAATACCCTTGATTGTAATTTGTTTGACATATAGTCTAATTTTTTTTAATTATTACTTCCAATTTTTTTTAGTGAGAACTAGTTCAGTCAATGGTGTTGCATGAAGCAAATTCGTATCGGGTGTTAACAGATTCGTATCAAAAAAATATTTCATTCATACTTAATTCATTTAATAATTTGTATATAATAAATTGTGTCACACCGAATCGTATTGTGTATGAATCATATATAATTAATATATAAATAAGTCATATTGTATATTTTTATTAATTAATTTAACTCATACTCAATTCATTTATTAATCGTGTCATACCGAGTGTATTCGTTTACGAAACAAATAGCTTAATAAAATATGCAAACGCTATAATTTTGTATCATATTCGTGTCATATTAACAGATCATTCCATATATATATTTGGACCAAAACCCCCTTGGATTATATATTTTCTAAGCTTGTAGCTATTATACAAATTAGAGATATGCATAATTATTTAAAAATTGTGTGTATTGAGTCGACTAGCGTATTTCTTATGAGATCTAGGCTTGGAATCTCGATTTACTAATAGTTAAATTTTTGTCGTCTGAATTATTTGTGCTTAGCTTCTTTTGATTATTCTAATTCTTAACGTGTGGTTAGCTCTAGGGATTTAGAATAATCTATATCTGTATTTATACCTAGACAAATTTTTAATTGACTAAAAAGCTTTATTAAAATAATAATTTTTTATTAAATTATTAAAATAACAATATTACAATTTAATCATTCAAAATGACAAAAATATCACTTTAAAATAACACTCCCCTTCTAAATTGAAATATGTAGTTTTAGCATGTATAATTTTTTTATGCTTCATTTTCTTTTTATAAATTCAATAAAAAAACTTATCATTCAAATCTATTTATGTACAACACACACGTAATTCACTGATAATCTTAGAAATGATGGGCTAGTGCTTGAAAATTGGATTAAAAATGCTATTACAAATAATTGAAGTCCACGGTTGGAAAGTTAGTAATAATATATATGAATATATTTTTATTTTTTATTTAATATACACAAAAAGATCATTATTCTAATAAATAATCAAATACTATAATTCAAAATAATGTGTCTATAGCAGAGAAGAAACACACTCATGAAAAGATGAAAAAATGTCCAAAATGAAACATAATTAAATCCCATGGAAATGGACGCCAGAAGTATATTATTTATTGCCATCGACGAGAATTAACTATGGGGAAATTATATTTAAATCTCTTGAGATTTGTCACTTAATCATTCAGACCCACTAATATTTAAAATATTACACACAAACTCCCTGAAATTTGTACGCACATAACACTTAGACCCCTGCTGTAAATATATCTATTAATAAATTATACTTACACTCCCTTGAAGTTTATAGGTATATAATATTTAGACTCCTTAAGTTTAAAATATTATAGTTAGACCAAAAATATTTCAATCAAAGATAAAATNAGTTTTTTGAGTTAATCTCATTTTGTACTCCGAAAGATCGTTCGAATCTCAATTTGTACTTTTAAAGATCAAAAATCTCAATTTGTACTCTCAATGATAGAAATTTGTATCAATGTGCACCTTCAAAAATAAAAAATTTCAATTTACACCCTCAAAGATAGAAATCTGTATCAATGTGCATCTAAAACTAAATTNTATATTTATCTTTTATTGAAATAAAATCAAAAATAAATATTCAATTTTTTCTTAAAAAATCGTAATTAGTATACAATAAATTAATATATTAATTTTGATTTTATTTTTAAAAACTAAATTTTTATTTTTGATTTTATTTCAATAAATGATATAATAAAACATGANATATCCCCTCATGTTTGTCACTTAATCATTTGAACCCCTTCACATTTAAAATATTATCTACACATATCCAAACGTCATGAGGGGATTTAGGTATAATTTATTAATTTAGTTTTAGGTGCATAATGATACAAATTTCTATCTTTGAAAGTTCAAATGGAGATTTTTTATTTTTGGGATGCACATTGATATAAATCTCTATCTTTTACGGTGCAAATTGAGATTTTTGATCTTTGGAGGTGCACATTGATACAAATTTCTATCTNTCGATTTTTTTAGTTTTATTCTAATAGATAGTATAATTATATATTAATTACAATTTTTTAAGAAAAAATTAAATTTTTAATTTTAATTTTATTTTAATAAATGATACAATAGAATAAGAATTTTAATTGTAAGATTTAAAATATTTGATATTTTATCTTTGATTGTATTTTTAGTCTAAATATATATACCTACAAATTTTAAGGGAGTTTAAGTGTAATTTATTAAATGATATATTTACCGTAGGTTCTAACTATTTCGTGTGTACAAACTTTAAAGAGTTTGTATGTAATTTTTTAAATGTTAGAGAATCTAAGTGATTAAGTGACAAATTTTAAGTAATCTAGAGTAAATCTCCCATTAACTTTTTGTCTTTGGTTGCTTTGCGCAGTAGATGTATTCAGAGCGTAACCACCGAATAAGTTCATACCTTAATAATGAAAGATGCGACAGACTTACAGTAATAAATTTTGTTTGCTTATTCTAATAAAGTTCGAGAGTATTGTCTAAATAGACTTCGGTCGAGTTTAATAAGAAAAAAGCAGAAATTTTAGTCACACTTCTTCTAAGTTACTATATTTTCAAAGACATCCATTTTATCATAAAAAAATATCACTAACTTCCCTTTTTAGTTATATTTAAACATCACTGACACCTATTGCCATTAAACTATCATTTCTAACAAAAATAATTCATCTAAAATATCAAAAATGATCCTACATAAACTCCAAATAATTTTTCTACATAAAATTCAATTAAAATTTTATCCGATTAAAATTTATTTTTCTATTTATTAAAATTCGAGTTTATTAAAATTTATTTTTCTACATATTAAAATTTAAATCGGTTAAAAATTGATTCGAGCTGATTTTATTTTTTTTACGTATTAAAATTCGAGCCTGTTAAAATTCTTTTTTATTAAAATTTGAGTCAATTTGAACTCTACTTGAGTTATTAGTGCTGATTAAAATTCACTTCGAATCAATTAAAATTCATATTTTTTTACTTATTAAAATTCTTGTCAATTATAATTAAAAATTCTTTCATTAAAATTTAAGTCAATTAAAATATACATTTTATATATATTAAAATTTAGACCAATTAAAATTCAATACAAGTTAATTAAATTTGATTTGAACAAATTGATTTTTATTCGGCTCAAATAGAATTATAATCAGTTCAAATTTTAATATATAAAAAAATATTATTTTTAATCAACTTGAAGTTTAGTACGTAAAAAATAAATTTTAATTAGATCGAATCGAATTTAACTGACTCGAATTTTAATACTTGAAAAAAATTAGAAAATAAATGGGGTCTTATTGAAGATATGCTTATCTAAGGGGATGTGGATGAAGTTTGTTTTCAAATATATAATGGGTAATTTAGTAAAATTGAATTATAGTTAAAATTTTTATTTTGACATGAGGTATTAGTAAAGATTCAAAAAATAAAAGGAATATCTTTAAACATATGATAAACTAAAGAGTGTGTAATTGAAAAAAAATTGTTTCTGGTCTGTCACAAGTAGTACTTGGTCTAGTATGGGCTACAAATTTTTTTTTTTTTTTTTTTTTGGGGGGGTGGGGGGCGCTTGGAATTTGATGTTTTTAGAGGTCCAAACGTCATTGTCATAAAAAATAACTAAAAAAGAAAAGGAAAGATGTAATTTGAGTCCTAGATCATTAGTTCATTACGGTACAAGTTTTTTGAGTTAATCTCATTTTGTACTCCGAAAGATCGTTCGAATCTCAATTTGTACTTTTAAAGATCAAAAATCTCAATTTGTACTCTCAATGATAGAAATTTGTATCAATGTGCACCTTCAAAAATAAAAAATTTCAATTTACACCCTCAAAGATAGAAATCTGTATCAATGTGCATCTAAAACTAAATTGATAAATTATACCTATATCCCCTCATGTTTGTCACTTAATCATTTGAACCCCTTCACATTTAAAATATTATCTACACATATCCAAACGTCATGAGGGGATTTAGGTATAATTTATTAATTTAGTTTTAGGTGCATAATGATACAAATTTCTATCTTTGAAAGTTCAAATGGAGATTTTTTATTTTTGGGATGCACATTGATATAAATCTCTATCTTTTACGGTGCAAATTGAGATTTTTGATCTTTGGAGGTGCACATTGATACAAATTTCTATCTTTGAGAGTGCAAATTAAAATTTTTGTTCTTTGAGAGTGTAAATTGAAATTTAAACAATCTTTCAGAATGCAAAATGAGATTAACCTTATTTTTTATCCACTCACTTGAACCTAACCCTCTCTCATGGAGAAAATATTTGTTGTAGCAGTTACACATCATAAACACGGTCACATATTATCATCCAATTTAATGATAAATTAATAAGTAGAGAAAATGAACCACACTTCTTTAAATACAACATTTTATTTCGATAGCATATCTTAAGTATAGTTCTCCGTTTAATATACATAGATCACCAAAATAAGGCTCCACTATTTTGCTTAGAGATAGTTTGAAATTTTTTCAGTCACTTAACCATGAGAAAAATGTTTTTGTTCACCCAAAAAACTACTAAAACATTATATGCAAAACAAATCAAATAGTGAAATGAAATCCGCAAATCATATGATTCAAAAATTCAAAATTTATTTATCTTCTGACGCAGATAGTGAAAATTATCCGCAACGATATGGAATTTGAAAAACCATTAATGCAAATTTTGTCTCCTAAAACAAATATATTTTTTAAATATC